TGTACGTTACGTCAGTCTGTAGTCCTTTAGAAAGGCGCTTGTCGATGACGACACCGCCCCTCGCCTTTATTTTGCGTAACTTCCTGCAGCACTTCCTTTTCAGCGTAACGCGACGGGCAGGACAAGCTGCAGAGATGAGGTTAGACCCGATTTAACCAAAAAATGTCTAAAAACTGAACTATACACACGTCTAGAGCCGGTAGTATTGGTCGTATAAGTAAATAGAATCGTATTCTTGTGTAGCTTTTATTTTAGTCGGTTCAGTTTCTCTGAATTAGTTGAAGCTAACTGTCCAGCATGGCGCCGGCTCATCTGCTGGTGTAACTTCAGGTTACGTTACATAAAATCCACCGTCATCCATAGCCTTAGAAGACATTTGGGGTTGCAGTCCACTGACGAAAGATTAGATGAACTGTTTTATATGACGTAATCATTTTTATTTTAGCGCTCTGCACCCATTTTGTGGCTTTTTAAGAGCTACATTACAGCAGCTGTGATACAGTGGTTTCAGTGAGGCACTTATACGACTATATCCTGCTGAATGACTGCGAAACATAAGTGGTTGCTTTTTGCCCTCTTAACACTCAGATGATCATTTGGCCATTTAGGGCGGTTGATGGCTAACTTTTATGACTGTTCCTGAAATCTTGATCATCGTCATCTCGCACTTTGCACTAAAGTTTGACAAACAGATGACTTCTAAGTGACTTGATAACTGAGTGCTGCATTAATTTTAGGCATCGACAATAAACCAGTGTTATTTATCAGTTATTGCCACTTCATCAATAGAGTAAGAAAACTACTTCATAGAATCATGGTTACACCTAAATGCTTACAATACTCCGCCCAAGTTCTGATGGTTCCTTTTATTTAATTTTTTTTTGTTGTTGCCCTTATATAAATGTATGTCGATGTTAAAATTATTACCTTTGTACCTTGATCATGTCGCTAATATAGACACATAACTGAATGAAGCAAGTTTCATTTGGTAAAATGTTTAATGACATTTTACATTACATTTACATTGATTATACTAGTTTTGATGTACATCACATTGGTCAACTGATATTTTTAAAACCAGCTCCTAATTTGATCAACTGACTGATGATTACCTGTAGTGGCTTTTAACTGATTTTATGTTGTTTTCTGTTACAGTAAGGTCTCCAGGGACACGCTGTACGAAGCCGTAAAGGAAGTCCTGCAGGGCTCTGTGGCCAAACCAAGGAAGTAAGTTGTGATGAAGAAAGGTGTTGTGACAAATAAACTGCAGGACATATGTCTGACCTTTTGTCTGCTTGTAGGTTTGTGGAGTCAGTGGAGCTGCAGATCAGCCTGAAAAACTATGATCCCCAGAAGGACAAGCGTTTCTCCGGCACTGTCAGGTTCGACCTTTTACTGTCTCACCCAACCTTTTCCCTGTGTGCTTCCAGCCCTGTCTGAGTGTAAACACAGCCTGTTACATGGCACGAATCAGACGAAAACTCTAAAATCCAGACAGGCCAGGGGCAGACATGGAGAAGTACTTTGGGTAGTCTGACTGAGCCGACTCGGCTTTAGCTGAGAAAGGCGAAGCAGGCGGACCCCTACCCTGGGTCTTAAAACATGAGGGGAGGCTTTGAGTGGCTGAGCTGGTAAGTTCACGTCCTCAAGCCGACCAATTTGCGTTTTTATGACCAAAGAGGTCAGCTGGACACCGGCCACTCGGGTGGTATGGGTAAGAAGTTTTCTATTACACCGCAAAATCGGGAAAGTGTCATTTGGTAATGGCAGAGTACATTAGATTCCATTTGTATAAAAAAGCTTCATTATAGATATATTTCTAAAATCACAAATCAGTCGTGTGTAGTAAATGGTGATCTGATGATAATATTGACCTACTTTTTGTGTATGTAGGGTGCACATGATTGTTGTGATTTCAACAACAAAGAGCTTTTGAGAAATGCATTAGTGATCATGGTTAAACACAGGTCTTCTGTCAGCCATGCCCTGCCGTCCTACCACTTGATACCCCCGGGTTTGAAGTGTGGTTTCGAGCACCGCCACTAACTGTTTTGTTGATATGCAGGCTGAAGACTCTCCCCAGGCCCAAGTTCTCCGTGTGCGTCCTGGGAGACCAGCAGCACTGTGACGAGGCCAAAGCTGCCGACATGCCACACATGGACATCGAGGCTCTCAAGAAACTTAACAAGAACAAGAAGCTGGTGAAGAAGCTCGGTAAGAAGTTAACATGACCCAAAAGACTGTCTCGGGGTGCACAAAGAAGCAAGTTTGACAGCCCAGGCTTTCTTTGCATTAGTGATTTTGTTAGGTTTACTTCATCAGGCCCAAGTCTGTTCCTATAAAAGGGAATGTTTGATGTGAAATTTGACTCGTCTTCCACATAACATGGCCTGGTCGTCTGCTGCTGTTGTACTGACTGCATTACCTGCAGTGTAAAACAGATTTGGCAGCACATCAGGACCAAGCACATTTGTGCATTCTCTACATTACCAGCTGAATGGTTGCAGCTTTCAGTGGCAGTGCGTATAGTTTGTGTTGCTGTAACGTCACTGCTTTGTTAGTGGGATCACTCGCATACAGCTCAGCCAGTTTGCAGATATGTGCTCTGTCAGCTGTATTTCTTTGGATCACTCAAACAAAACATTGTCAGAAAAAGATGGGTGAATTGATAAACTGCCCATTTCAATTCTGAACACTGAACAACTGAGCGGGTTAGCTGTGCAGCATCAGTTGCCGTGATGATCTAATCAGGTTAAGAGAGCCAGCTTTGCAACACTGAAAACTGACTGTAGGTTCCACATACCTCATGAATCCACTCCTTTTGCTTTGTAGCACAGCCCGTCTGATCAGCAGTAATTAGAAGGCTAACAGGCATCTGACTGTTGTTTCATGTTGCCCTCTTTCAGCCAAGAAGTACGACGCCTTCCTGGCCTCTGAGTCTCTGATCAAGCAGATCCCTCGTATCCTGGGTCCTGGACTGAACAAGGCCGGCAAGTTCCCCTCCCTGCTCACCCACAACGAGAACCTTAACACAAAGGTGGACGAGGTCAAATCCACCATCAAATTCCAGATGAAGAAGGTGTGTTCAAGAGTTTGCCGTGGAAAATCTTTTATCTTTTTAACAGTTTATCTGTCATGAAAGCTGGCATTCTATTGGAGAAGTTGAACATTAGGTCAGTGAACAGTAACAGTGCTGTGTGTGTTGTAGGTGCTCTGTCTGGCTGTGGCCGTCGGACACGTGAAGATGACCGAGGACGAGCTTGTGTACAACATCCACCTGGCTGTCAACTTCCTTGTGTCTCTGCTGAAGAAGAACTGGCAGAACGTGCGTGCCCTGTACGTCAAGAGCACCATGGGCAAACCCCAGCGCCTCTACTAAATTACAGCTTTTCTATTAATAAAAGTGGAGATGCTCCAAAGTTTAGTTGTCATGAGTGATTTTTATTTCCTTTATAAAGTTAAGCAGAAGGTTTCACAAGTGTTCCAGTTTGGAGCCTAATGTTGGTCAGTAATAATGTAATTTCATAAACAAACAAACTTGCTTTGTCAACCTGAAATTTATATTTGGATAAAAAAAAGAATGCTCGTAAAAGAAATTCAAGGTTCCCACACAGACAGACATGCAATAGATGTGTATGAAGTACAACACAAAGCAACAAACTGGTACTATGGTTGAATGGATGCGGAAAGTCACAGTAGTGGTTGTTACGATCTGGTCTCTAGGGTCAGCTGGATGTAGCAAAAACGTGGTGTATTTGGTTGAGTTGAAGCGAATTGTTGCTCAGTTGTTTCAGTTTATACAACATTTGCACTGAATTCAAAAATATGCTGGAAATCACAGTGTTTCTAGTGTACAGACACTTCAAGTGCCTTAATGTGGGATGCGGACTGTTGCAGTCTCAGTTTTAACCTACATGATAATTGTGGTAGAAAGAACTCATGATAACAGCGCAGCATCTATAGAAAATTAAAAAAAAAAAAAGAACACTCTTAAGTATGGATGTCGGGGGGTGGAGAGAATCTGCACTTTGGGTTGTATTGATGTTGAGTATCAACCAGATAGATACTGTCGGGTTGATTTGAGATCATTATATTAAATCTGTATTATTAACATAATATTAATACTTTATTTAAATTTCATTAATATCAGTGCTAGTTTATTGTGACACCTGGAGATGATTTTTAAAGGAATTTTGACGAAGTAGCTAACTTATAATGGTGTGCAGCTGAACGAAGTGAGGTCTGCTCCATTGTAGTCCAACAAAAGACTAAAAGAATTTATCCAATGAGTCGGGGCCAAACTGGTTGGTGGTGGGATCAACCCAGCTGATGGATTCCTGGGACCAATGCCTGCCTTTGTCCCAGGTGACGGTGCAGCTTCAACATGTCTTTCTATGTGCCCACTATGTGCCCACCAGTCAGCGTGGGAGAACCAGAACTTCTCTTTATGTCTTCAGTATGTCGTATAATTTATAATACAGCATGTTTGACCTAGCACATTGGATTTCTCACCCAGGGCAACACTAATGTTTACTCGATAAAAACACGGCTACCCATGAGCCTCTTGGGTCCTGCTCTGGTTTGACTGTGGATCTCTTAATAGGATTATCTATTCTCAGTACAGGAGAAAGCCAGAGGAAGACATGAACCAAAGACGTGCATGTGAGAATCGGTTTGTGTTTTTGGAAACAATGAAAAGTCAACTAACTTTGACCATGAAGGGGATTTGAATTATTAAGTCAGGTTTTTCCTCAGTAAGACGTTTGGGTTCATCAGTAGAGGAAACTAGCGGGCGTAGTGATGAGCGCTGAGGTGAGTCTGATAATCCACCCGTGTCTGTAAACACCTTGTATTTAAGGCTTGTGTCTGCAGCTGATGTCTCGGAATTGTTTTCAGCCCGATGCAGAGACAAACGGTCACAACCTGCCCATCGTGCGGGACAGCGAGGACAGTGATGAAGGTAAAACCTAAAAAACATGTTCATACAAAGTCACTCAACCAGTGTCACGCCTTCAGGTTCAGACTGGATTGATGTTTTTAACAGAAACCAGTCAGGAGGAGCAGCCGGTCACATGCTGGAGCGACCTCTCCATCATCGAGCGTGTCGGCCTTAACAGGTGCAACATCCAACTGCTACACACAACATCAGCACATATTAGCAGATTTCATTTAACTGAGCTCTCAAATCTGTTGTTTTGTCACAGTGTGGAGATGCCAGAGAAGGATTTGGAGGTGAGTCTGCCACACTTCTCATTCAGTGTGAGACTAGACAGCATGAACAAAAGTTAACACTGGAATAGATAGTAAAAATAGCTTTAGATTTGTAAAAATTAAAAAAAATTAAAAAGATTTCATACATGAACACAGATTTGATTAGCGACCAACCATTTTCTAAGCTGTTCTTAAAGAATAGAGAAGGTAGAAAATTCTCTAACCCCAACAGGAAGACTGTTCCAACTTTTACAAACCCTTACAGACAAAGAGTTTGGACCTGTAGATGTTCTCCTGAACTGGACCTCACAGTCTCCTCTGCAGACCGATCTTGTAGGCCTACAAACAACATTGCTCTTTTGTTTAAATAACTTTTTAAGCGGTGGTGGAGAAATGCTATTAATAATTTTATAAATTCAGCAAGCATATTTAAGTATTTTAAGTTTTTAAAAAATCAATAGATACTAATCAATACTTCTCTAGAAGAGCACAGTGGTGAAATGAATAAGTTTACACTTTAATTGACCTCTCATACAGTTGCTCTGTAGGTTTTAGAGACGTAACACTGGCAAGAGACCAAGTTACGAAACAGTACTCAATATGAGACATGATCGTTCAATGGAAGTAAGATTTTGCAGCATCATTTGATTTATAAGGTCTGATTTGCCTAAAATTTTTGCAGGTTGAATTTTATAGTGTTAGCAACTTTTTAAATGTGTTTATTAAACGACAGTCTGGAGTCTAATACGACCCCAAGATATGTGAAATGGGACACTAGTTCCAGCTCCTCATCCCCAATGTAAACATTATGTCTTGGCTGTTCTATTTGTTTTTCCAGACAGTTTTTTTTTTGTATTCAGTATGAGACAGTTGTTCTGAAGCCAGTCCTGTATCTTGTTCAGGGCATTACCGCATCATCTGCATACATCTCAACATTAAAACCAGGACAAATATCAGGAAACTCATTATTATATAGTGAGAACAGTAGAGGCTCCAGGATTGAACCCTGAGGAACTCCAGCAGAGCTGCTGAGATGAGGGATTTCACACCGTTGACCATTTTAGTCTTTTGTAGTGGCTACATGTACATTTTCATGTACTAAATATTACAGTCAGTGTGTTCATTTTACTCATTGTGTCTGTTTTATGTGCTTGTAATGTTTTAAATGTAACATCTTTGTTTTGTGGTAAATCAGTGCCTGTTTTCAATTGCAGGCCCATTAAAATCACATAAAAGTTACTCTGAGTCTCAACAGAACATCAGACAAAAGCATAAACATTTAAAATGTGAGGGTGCACTACAAGCCTGAGTGAATTAGATTATTCTTTTTCTTTAAGGCGGCCTTCACTCAGATCGCCCTGGCTTTCCGCTGCGATCAGTACACCCTGAAGCAGAGGCTGCAGGCGGAGGAACACGCCCGGAACCTGGCCGAGGAGAACGTCCAGCTGGAGCTGAGCAGAGGCAGAGAGACTCTGGAGGTACAGAATGTGACGAGTGATCTGAGGTTAGCGTCCGTGCTGCCAGCAGAGAGGAAGTACATGTGTGATTGTTGTGTTTCAGACTCTGAAGGGCCTGTGTTTGGACAGCAAGCGCAGTAAGATCCTGCAGAGGCTGGAGTTGTCTCTGGACATCCTCGGAGGGACTGTAGAGAGAATCTCCAACACAGCCGAGGTGCTCGGTGCCGTTCACCAGGTACAGTGAGGCTCCGTTGATCCTGCTTTGTTTCAAGATGGTGCGGTTGGACTTCAGATGCTTTCATTTCACTTCATTTGGTTTTATATCAGGAAAAAACAGCAGAGGAACAAGATGAATCCCCAACTATGGGTCTAAGCTGGTTAAACAGCATAGCATTTTGTATAAGGCTTTTTTATTTCAATGTAAATGAATGCTCACTAAATATCATACAGCCTTTAACAGACAACAAGGATGCCGTTGGTTGTTGAAGGGATTTGTTCATGATTGATTTAAAAGTTAATATATTACAAATGTTACAAGTCTTTCAAATAAAATATCAGATTTTGTTTCATTTGACTTGGGATAAAAGTCCACATTACATAACGTACGGAAGGTTTGATGATGTTGTTTTTGTTGAATCCAATAATCGATCAGCCTGCTGTGTGCAGTTAAACGTCAAGTCAGAATTATTAAATCCTGCTACTTTTTAACCAAATGGATCTGCAGACTACTTTAGATTTTTTAAAAAAGGCCCAACAGAACTTTTTCCTGATCATTAACAAACAGAACAGTTGGTAAACAACAGCTCATGTCCCATTTAGAAAGACAGATGTAGGTTTGTACACAGTTTGACTACATATGTAGAAATCAGTGGCACTATTCAGGTAAATATGCAAAATCTTGGCAACCTAAACCCTCTCTAATATTAATCTGCAGCACATTCTTTATGTACGTGTCCAAAGCGAACAGCCCCTTACAGTACGAGGCTGTGATCTTGCTACACTCTCAAATTTCATTCTTTGTTTTTTTCAACAGGAGGCTCGAGTGAGTCGAGCAGTTGAGCTCATGGTGGCTCACGTTGAGAGTCTGAGGAGGCGACATGACAGAAATGCAGCAGAGCTGGAAGAAGCCAAGAAGATGGTGCAGCAGCAGAACTCCTGCAGGAACAGCCTGGATCACGGAGCCTCGCCAGGTTTCTGACACCTCCATCTGTTTCGTGGGTGTTTGTCTTGTTCTGCTGTCGTGCAAAGTTTTACTGATGACTGGGTCTCTCGTTGCAGATTCAGAGGACAATGAGGGCAGAAAGAAGGGCTATAAGCAGGTGTGCAGACATGTGGCTTGTTATAGCATCTGGAGAACTCCTCTTCCTTCCTTTGATCCGCCTTTTGTTTTGCTCTTACTTGTCTTTTTTTTAATAGAACAATCTCCGGCGAAGAGTCAGCATATCAGTAATTACCAGCCAAATTCAGGTGAGGTTCTTTTGTTCGTGAACTCTCTCACTTCCTTCACAGATGTTATCATCCTCGCACCATAATGAGTTCCCTCTTTGTCTGCACAGGAGAAGAGAAGGCTGAACTCCGAGTCCAGCTTCCCTACCCTGACCAGGGCCGACAGCTACCCGGTGGATGAGAGGTGAACCAGAGAATCAAACGCTTCTGCTTTAAATCAGGACTATTTGGTAACATTTGGTGTCAAAATGTTTTGTTTCAGGCCACTTGAACCGGATGAAACTCCGTCAGAGACTTCAGCAGCTCCTCCAGAACACCCAGAACACTCTCCCATCTCCAACCCAGAGTGCCCCTCGACTAAACCAGTGACCGCCAGAAAGACACTAAACAAAAAGTATGTTCATGGAGGTGGACAAAATAACAGTGTGGTGTGTCGATTAACATATCTGTCATTATTACTGTTTAGGATTTCTGTTGTCATTCTATTCTAACATATTTTACCCAGTTTGTGGCCGACACATCAGCATTTCAGAGAGGAACTACTTTAAATAAGAATAGATTGTTTTCACATCCTTTTTGATTTGTCAAAGCAAGAAAAGTACAACTACTGGCTTTAAATAACAGGCATGATTAGTAGTATTAGTATTGCCTGTGCTTTTCCTACTTTGACAAGTCTAAATGCCTGCTGCTAAAAAGGATTAATTGCATTAAATGTTTGAGCTTCAAAAAAGCCTCATTTGAATTTTTGCATCTTCCGAAACTAGCTTACAAAGAGGCCAGATATTTTCAGTTTTTGGTGCTTCACTCATAAAAATGCAAAATCATGTCAACACAAGGGTTCAAAACTGCAAACTGACCTCTTTGGAAATGTAGTTGTAGGAGTTAATTGGTCAGTTTGTTTTGATAAATCTGGATTAGTAACCAGGTAAAGCAGGCCGCACACTCACTGTAGTGTATTTAAGGACAAATTTCTCTGGTGACATGCACCACACAGGCCAAAATATGGCACCCAGTGTAACAACAGAAGTATAATACGTTAAGTATTCCAGGTGATATTATGCTCACATGGCTAAAGAACACTGTGTTTAATTAATTTATCCATTTCATAGTGGTTGGTCGCTGCAGCTTGAGGCAAAATGGATTTGGAGGGATGTGCTTCATGAGCTCAAAGCTTATTCAGCTTAATCAAGCCCCCTTGTGGTGTGAGAATGTCTGATTTTATTCGGAGCAAATATCTGATTTACACCTTATCTTCTGCCTTCCTGGAAACAAATAGAACAGAGACTAAAAGATGTTGCATTTTACCACAAACAGCCTCAACAGAAACCATTAGAGTAAAGAAAGTGAACTGGTATTTACTGATGCTTTATTACTTTTTGTATGATTTTGCCTACGTTGTGTAACTGTGGACTCATTTTATTGGAGGACAATATCTAACGTAGCTGCCTTCATTGCAGCTCCTCTCTGGATACTCTGCGACAGAGACACAAAGGCAAAGCGGCGTTATCGAGGAAAAAGGAAAAAAAGACGACAAATATCTACCAACGGATCTCTGTGGGAACGTAAGTAAAAACCGTCGTGTTTCTCAAAGCATGAAAGTGATGCCTGCAGTAATCAGATTGCTCTTTCCAGGAATGGATCCCTGAAGAGGAAACATCATCTGACTCACTGGATACATCGCTGTCGATGGGCGCTGCTCTGCACGTACCTGTTTGTGCTTTTCTTTGTCGTATCACTCACTTACTTCTTGTGGAAGCTTCACGATGGAGCACTTGAGCCATGATCTGGCCTTCTGTGATATACCGTTTTGATGGCACTTTGTCTAAATTCTGTTACTGTGCTGTGAACGACAAGTGTGTGCTGTCTGGACGGCTCTTTGTATACAAATATAAAATGTTTTGATGTAAGACTTCTGGTTGTTTGTCTTCTAAAAATCTTTTCTTTTAAGATAAGACTTCTGCAAACATCACTTTTAGACATAAGTTTTTAATATAAATATACAAAAAAAAAAAACTGGTACAATCACTTGGTTAGTAAGAAAACACCATACTGCAGTGAAAACATTCATCAAACCACCATTAGAGGCATCAGTGATTAATTATTAGGAGTTAATAGCAAATGTTAAATTCAGCTTACTTCACGTCATGGCGAGACAAATTTAACTATATATATAGTTCTTATAAAACATCAATGTGTGTTCAAAGGTGTAACAAAACTTTAGTTATAAGTCTCTATGTTATAAAGGGGACACTTAAAATAATAGATAAATATAGTATAACAATAAAAATTATATTAGGAATGGTGAAAACTACTGTAGGTGAATTTGAATGTGCAAAATGTGTTCCAGCCACAAAGAAAGTCTTGAAACAAACAGAAAGTTTATGATCCATATGACACATGTAGGATATTGTATTAGCTTCACTTCACCCCAGGTCTATTAGGAAAATACTTAAAATAAATAAAACTGGCATACCAACCTTACATAAAGTTTTAAATTAATTACAGATACAGGTACCGATAGGTCCACGTTTTCTGTATCGTGTCAACAAACGATCTCACAGAGAGTCCAAAGACTTAATAAATACAAAGATAAATAAGAGAGGAAACGACCCAACATGCTGCAGAGGTGTCAGCTACACCTGGCTCACGATTTCAGCGTCCTCGGCCACAAACCACTGGACTGGAGTCCCGTCTGCAGCTCTCTGGAGGATCAAATTACCCGAACCCTGAGAAAAAATGTCATGAAGTCAGCATTGTGCATTTCTGGACAGACGTGTACAGATATTATAGGTGGCATTAGTTGATTAGAGAATATTATTCATTTTCAGTCACTTCAGTCAGTAAAAATGCCCAAAACTTGATGGTTTCAGCTTCTCAGATCTGAAAATATGCAGTTTTTTTCTGTTAACGTTTATGTAAACGACATATTTCTGATTCTGATTCTTGTTTTGACCAAACAAGGATTATGGGAAATCATGATGGACATTTTTGTTCATGTTTTAAAAACAAAACAAATAATCAAAAAATAATGAATAATCCAGTCGATATAATTATAGTATGGTTTGTATAGTAATATAGTTTGCAGTCCTAATATATTCAAATAACAAAACTCTAACAAAGTTTAAATTACTCATGTCTAACCCACAATTTCGCTTGGCGTCTGAGTGTGTTAGCAGCTCGTGTTTTCTGTTGTATTATTATCAGTACTGACCTGTTTAAATGGAGGCATGTGAGGTGAAATGGGACTCGTAACACTCAGAAAACTCTGTTGTTCCCCACAACTTGGCCGCAACTTCTGCATCTGATTCCTCTGATGCCAGGACTTGAGCTCCTCCGACACGATCTCTCTGGGCATCAGCCTGATGGCGTGGTTCGGGTACTCTTTCAGCGAAGGGGTCCGCACCAGCCTGGTGTAAGGCGGAGGAGGTTTCAGGATGCTCCTCGAGGAAGACGCTCCCTCCTGCCACGGTCTTTGCTGAGGGCTGCGCGCCACAGGAGGGGAGGACAAGAAGCACTTGCCCAGGCCTGAGTCTTGCGGGGACAGGGGGCCGCTCTCTCCTGTGGTCCTAACATAGCCGGGGCTGGATGGAGACTGGCCGGCGTTCTTGTGTGGGATGTGGAAGCTGGAGAATCCTTTTTTCTGCGCTCCGAAGTGGAATCCATACGGTGGGGGGCAGAGCTTAGGGATCTCAGTGGGACCGTCCCTGCCAGGAGAGCTGATGTGGGAGGTGGATGAGTGCTCCGAGCTGCTGTCCTCAGAGCTGGACTGGCAAGGACGCAGGGGCGAGTACTCCGGAGAACGCACCATGAAGTCGGCCACACAGCGCCGCTGGGGCAGTCGGGTTCGCCCTCGACCTTTCTCTGAGTTGAGGCGCTCCATGTCAGCAGAGGGTTTTTTCTTGGGAAGTCTGAGAAGACAGATCATGTAGAATTGTAAAACAACGGTACAGATGTTCTAATGCCCTTTGATTTCTCTGTTAGTATACAGTCATCCTCAGATTTATTCATACTGTCCAATTAAAGAAGGAAAAAAACAGTTGTCACTGAAATAAGCTGAAATTGACAGGGGTAATAATAAAATAAATAAATAAACACACATATATATATACATATAATAAATCAATGAATGAATATGTGAATATGTGATTTAACAGAAATATTTAAAAAAAACAAACAAACAAAAACACACAAGCATGGTCCAATCTCTGTGAACTAATATTTTATTGAACAACCCTTTGAGCCAATTACGGTGATCAAGTCTTTTCTCTCTCGATCAGACTTCTGCACCTGTTGACAGGTATTTGGATTTTGGCCCACTGCTCATCAGCAAAGTGCTCTAATTTGTCTGGGAGAGTTTTTTTTTTTTTTTTTTAATTATTCTTTTCTACCACAATTTCACTAAATTATAATTTAGCAAATTTTTATTTATTATTACTTTTTTCAGTTTCTAGTTATTTGAGTGCCTGTTGTGAATTTTGCCTTTTCTTTAATAAAAGGGTATGAATACATTTGAGGACGACTGACATGATGTCTCTGCCTACCTAAAGGACTGGGAGTACTGTCGGCGTACGAGCAGCTCTGGAGTGGAGGGGGCGCTGGTAGAGTGGTTGTGACGCAGCGCTGAGTTCTTGACAAACTGAGTGAGAGGAATCCTGCTGCTCTCTGCAGACACCTGAGTTCCTGCTGGACTACTGCACAGAACAAACACAGAGGGAATGAAGTGAGATAATGCAACACGGCACTGCACGTAAATGTGGATTTTGACACCACTATAGATTTCACGTCAACTGAAAAACAAAAACATGCCAAACTAAAAAAGGTTCTCCCAAAGAAGGCTGAGAAATGTGTACATGGACAAGGATGCTGACATCAATTTGTAGCTGGTTCAGCACATCCATTTGATTATTTTTTCCAAACAGCTACAAGAACTTGAAATGATTTTCAGTAAAGTAAAACCTTGTAACCCAGTATTGTTGTACATCTGAAATATTGTAATCATATTTCAGGGTCCTACCTGGACCTGCTGCTGCAAGCTGACTGAGGCTTTGTGGTCTTCTGGTAAGGCTGGTCCAGACTGGACTCTTTCCATGGTGAGTTCTGGATGGGAGAGCGCTCATACTCCACACTGAGCTGGCTGGAGGACTGAGGGGACGACTGCAGGGACTCAGCTGACAGCTGGAGAGGGTCTGAATAGGAAGAGCCCAACACTGGGGGTGAGAGGGGGCTGGACAAGTCCACATCTATGGAGGGAGAGAGAGAACATCACATTATTTTTTTCCTTGAAGGTATTATTAATATAACTTTGCCTGCTCCAAAAAATATATGCTATCGAATACATCTGCAGCATGTAACCCTACTGCATATTAAAATGAAATACTGTTTTTAAGAGGCACTCACTAAACTATCAGAATTATAAATGTATGAATGTACTCCCAACTCACCATCATCCAGAGCCACCACATCAGAGAGGGAGCTGTCATCGGACATGCACAGATCTGCACACACAAATGAAACCTTTTTAGTTTCAATCAAACCCACTAAGTGTTACACAG